CGCTTCTAAACAAACCTAATGCCTACCTGTGCAACCATAATACTAAAAACTCGCCGTCTGACTCACCCTGGAGGCACCTCTGTTTCACAGGTATTACCTTCTTATGCACTCTAAGCTCCCTGCAAAGTGTCGCTGGCACCTAAACGGCTTTGGATTCAGACTGTTACCTGGTGCAAGCTCTGTTGCCACTGGGAGCACAGCCCCAACATGACAAAAAGAAAAAAAAAAAAAAAGGAAGGCAGAAAGGAAATGCCTGGTGGTTAAGCACCCACTTGAGAAACAAGAAATGCGGGTTTGATCAAGCCGAGCYATCCCACAGCTTGGGCAAGGGCTCTAACCACCACCCCGCCGTACACAAGACAGAAGCAACCAAACTCCTCACCACATCCTCTCGCGGCCACGATGGGAATTCTGCACCCGGGTTCTTGTCCTGCCAAAGCACCTGGGAGCTTCTCCCTCCCGTCCTCCCAATGGGCCCTCCCATTCCCACAGCCAGCGCCTAAAGTTCGCTTTTTACCTCAGGGATCAGCTCTAGGCGCCTGTAGGATAAACGCCCCTGCCTTAGGTAGGACTCTGCTGCCCTGCAGTCCGCTCAGAAGCGGCCTTGGGTTTTCTGRCTGCACCTAAGGGACAAGGTAGCTAAAAGGGCTGATGCTGAGCACCTAACACACACTTCTACCTTTTTGTGATGTTTACCTTCTTGAGCATTGCAAAAGGAAGCATCAAACAGCATACCGTTTCTTCTTTCAAGCACATGTTTTGTCCTCGCCTCAGAGATGTATTTACTTACAGAAGATTGTTAAACACCACACTAGAGAAAATAACTTCCTGAACGCGTAGCCGCCATGATGTGCAAAGTCACTTCTGGCACAACCTGGATTTTCTCGATATTCCTGTTACTRTGGCTGGAAGCATTAACTCTCCATAACACAGTCCGACTCTTAACTCTCCGTAACAGTTCCCTTCCACAAATGCTTAACCTGCAAGCTACTGGCACGCACGAAGCCCTGTCCAAGCAAACCTTGGAAGCGAACCTGCAGGCATAAAGCATAACCATTTAAAAAGCCTAAAACTTACCAGGAATCTAATATTCAAAAGGGTTTTCTTTAGGGATGTTCCTTTAGGCAGCTTGGTGCACCGCCCGAAGCAAGAGCACAGCACAGGCGTGAAATTTAAGGTTAATTAAAACAGAGGCCTAATGCAAGCGTGTGAAGCTCAATAGCAGGGAAAGGCCTACTCCTTACTGCAGTGGTTTCCAACATGTGTGGCCATAGAGMGCCCTCATTCCTTTTAGGACACATTCCAGGGCCTGAACTGCAGGGAACAGCCTGCACACTCTCCCAAGACAGTTTTTAGGCACAGTATCAGGCTCAGCAGCAGTGACACAGCAAATAACCGYGATTGCTACTGGCATTTGATCCAGCAGAAAGAAAAATCCGCTCCACTTTATAAACATTAACCTCATGCAACAGAAATCTCTGTGTGGCCTTTTGTGCTGCCAGCCCAGACAGTGGATGCATTTCCTTGAATCTATGTTCATTTACATCACGGTTAACTGTATTTTCCCCAGAATGCGAAGTCTGAAGCRCAGCAAACAATTTTGGTTACTTTATGGCATAATAATAGTCACTTTGAATACTGTCTGCAATAGCAGATGCATAGGTATGTTTTAAACCAAACTGAATTCCCCTTTAAAATATTTCAGTGCTGTAGAAATGCATGAACTAGTCTAACGGCACCCAGCTGTAGCACAAGAGCTGCAGAGAAAGCCAAACTGTGAGGAAACTTTCAAATGATCTCACATTACTCATATATATACGCTTTTATATATATTATATACACACACATACACACACACACACAAATATATAACTTTAACTTAATTTGTAAATCAGTAATGCATCTGCAGAAGTAATCCTTCCACCTGCACTCCAATGGAGGGAATGCAGATATATATGTGTGCGTGTGTATATAGATATATATACATACACACAAATATGCATATATAAACATATAAAACATATATATAAACATACATTTATATATAAAAATATATACATGTAAGCTGTCCTTGCCCCTCGCTCCCTTCCGAGGCCGAGCGGGAATCTCCAGCAGGACGAGTGAGAAACCTTGGCTTGCAGCGCCCTCTGCGCATGAACGGGAGAACCTCCATTCCTGTACAAGGACAGGAAAAATCCACCCTGACGCCCCACCGTCTCAAGGGTGAAGCACTGCCCACGCTTCTCTCGCAGACAAAATGCACAAAACGGTCAGCTGATTGCTGCTGGAAGAGGTTTTGTACAGAAAGTCATCTCTGGCGCTTATTGTGCGTCGGTGCTGAGCAGCGAGCGCCGCATCCCGAGCGGAGGAGGCGGCAGTTTCCTCGCATCCAAGTCCTGACAAGAGTCTTTGAACTACAAAGGCTGGAAGGGAAGAGTTTATGCAGTGAGCAGCACCCTGAGACAGGATCTGTGTCTGTCAGCCTCAGACTGTGTAAAATGTCATCTTTAGGGTTCATTTATATTTAATTCAGGCAAAAAAGGATGAAAAATATCAAAGGAGCCTGAAATAATAAGGGCTTAATTAACCTTCCTGCATATTCCAGTAGTAATACATATGTTCTCGATTTGTAGCAAGTAGATCCTAAAGTAGCAGCTGTCTGAAACTACTAAATTAGTAAATACTGACAGGATTGCTGTAAAGAAAACTGAAAATGAAGCTTGTTGTGACACACACTAAACATTCCTGTTGGTGTACATGAGTAAACACATATGCATCTAATTCGTAAAAGGCTTCACTTATTTATTATATTATTTTACTGTGTGATAAGGCAAGGTCTTACATTCTGGAGTTTCTTGAGCTCCTACCTAAAGGGAAAAAAAGTAAAAGAATTGGGGGGAATCTCCCTCTCCTCCTTCTCATTCTCTCTCAACTTTGACACCTCTGCAAAACCAAGCCAGAAATTCAGGTCYTGCTCTCTCAGTGGCTCTGTGACGACTTATATGAGTTATATTGGCAATCCTGTAATTTGCTTTGCTGCTCATTCCCTCTCGCTAGGCATCCTGCTGAACTGCAGGGGAAAAATGCACTAGGCACCATTACGTCCATGATCAGCTGCAGAGCAGCAAGCCTGTTCCTGTCGGGATYCAGGTCCCTGTTGGTGCCAGCTTGATACTCAGATGATTGCAAACCCAGCTGTGGTGGCATCAAGGTACCAGGCTACTGGGCCATATGTGAAATCCATGTGTGCATTACTGAGGTCATTTGCTACCCCTCCATTCCTGTGGCAGTTTTGTCTATACCCAGCAAGACCTGTAATGAAAAAATGTATGAGCTGTGACGCTGGAAAGAATCTAAAATTATCTGTAGAAGGAGACAACTCTCTGCTAGCATCCTCATCAAAATCTCTTTGGGAATTCAGGCAGGCAGACACTCATCTGGACAGATGAGCATTACCAGGCACCTGTTCCAGAAGGCACAGAGCTGAATATCAGTGTAATGAAGTTTAGAATAATCACTATTTCCTGTAATGATCTTCCAGTAGGTTGTTCAGAAAGCTCATCCTGAGGGTACCTAGAGCCTTTTGTGAAGACTGCATAGAGAAAACAAGAGGGCACATGATTGATTTTCTGAGAGCTTCAAACCTTGAATTTAGCAAAATTCCTACAAGGGAAACTAAGTTTTGTTGTTTTTAATTGTAAAAACAGTGGCTTATTTCCTGAACAGTTTCTCAACTCCAAAGCAAGTGCTGCCAGTCTCTTAAAATAAAGTTCTATAAAACAAAAGGCAGACTTAATGATCACCGACACCAAGACCAAGTGTCAAGAATGTTGGTTGCAACGTGTAAGTGAAGTTAGGACTTTTTACCAGATATTTTGCTTTTAGTGCCTTATGACCAGCTCCCCCAAGTGACTGTAATCTTCTGAGCTCCACACTGGCAGAAACACCAAGTGTGTCAATGAAAATCACAGGAATGCACCGTGTCTTCAGCCCAGTTCCTAGACGTGGTCCATATTCAGTGTCCCAGCACTGCTCACCCAGCTCTGAGGGTGCTCGTCTGGATTACCTCAACCCCATGAGCTTGAACTTGCTCTCCATCTTTGTAGAAACTCCGGGCAAAGAGCATATATTTACCAGATATTCTTCTAAATTAAAATAGTTCTCCAGATGGATAGTCTGCTCCCTGTCTTAGTGCCAAGAGCCAAACCTGCCACTGGTACTCAAGTGTCAGCTTCCATTCAGTTCAGTGAAGCTGCAATTCAGAGCAATTTCAACTCACTGCATGCCTTTGTAGTCACATTTAATCTCTATTTTTAATTATTTTTTTCCCATCTTTTCTTCTCCCTCCTCTCTTTTAAAGTCTCTCAGTATCTAAGTTTCTTAGTACCTTATTGAGTACCTCAGTATCTTAAGGACAATATTCTGCTTGTTGCCACTAGAGATAATCTGCTTTTGCCTGGAACCCTCTCCAAACATTTCTCATGATATTTCCCTTCCATGATGGCCTTACAGAATCTACTGCATTAACCCTTACGGGGGAGCAAGTCTTATGCACTTTTGACTGAATCTACATCTACAGCCTTTCGGAGAGGGGAGCACAGGCTAACGCCTCTCCCAAAGTCAATCAGCCAGTGATTTGTTCATCGTGACAGAGAAGAAAAATAATGACATGTAATTTGTGATTCTATGATTCTGCTGTTATATTGACTACATGGTAGTGTTGGGAGGTCAGAATAGAGAGCTCTAGGGCTACAATATAAGAAAAATATCAACACGGTTGAGCATATCTGGGTATGTTTGGGAGTAACAGTAGTACATGAGCCTCAGTGACAACTACTCTTGAGAACACTGAGGGAYCCTTTGAATTAAGCCTTGGGTTTGGTTTAAGCCAACAGCAGTTATGAAGTCCAAGAGAGCAGAAAGGCAAACCCAACATTTAACCCTGCCTGAGAACTGCTCCAGGGCCTACCCAAATTCACATAAGAACAATCACTACTTACCTTAGAACGATGACAGTTCTTCAAGATGACATTGCCTAAGATCTCACAACTGAGGGGTCTGCTGCACATCCCGCTTTGGGCAAGCCCTCAGCTATCATCAGCTTGACCAAGGCAAGAACCAAGAGCAGGCTGAGGTCTCGGTGATCTCACACGGGGCACCAGGACGCACAGCTCTCACAGGCGGCATCGCTTCAAGTCCTACCCACCTCATCTGCTTATCTGAGGACAATAGGAGCAACCCTGACAACATCAAAGAGGAATTTATGGCTGCTAGCCGCTTTACCTACAGTTTCAATGTTATTAATTCATATGAGAGACTATATAGGCAAATGGATAACTTTTTAGGAGGCAGAAGTAGAAGAACCCTTAATCCATCAACCTGGAAAACAAACATTATTCCTAAATTTACACTCAGACATTATGTATGATCTCACCAGCAACTCTTCCAATAAATAATAACGATACAGCTGCAAAAGCAGGTTACAACATTAACCTCAATTAACAGGCCCTAATAATTTCTCAAATGCCACTTGTTTACTTTGCAAGTCAGGGATGGATAGCTTTACTGGCTATGGTCAACAATTGCAAATGCTTAAAAATGGATTTAATGCTTTCATGAATACATAAATTTTGAAAACTGAAGAGATTATTTGGAAGTCACGTGTAGATTAGGTACTTGGATAAATGTTTTCCCATGCTGTTCTGGCCCTGTGCCCTCATAGGTCACCACTGTGACAGTCTGTGAAGTCAGTTTAATCCTTAGACTTTGCCAAAACTGTGAGTAAACCGTTCACCCTAATGCACGGGCTTTGTGAAGCAGTCAGAGCTAGATGAGCCAACCCAATGTTCACATGGATAAACAGCAGTCGGGCAGCAGCAGTTGTATCAGCAGCAGCCCGAGCTTCACGCGAGCAGGCAGGCTGGGAAGCACAGGGCAGAAAGTGCCCCCCCSTTCTTGCCCCTCGTCCTTCCCTCACTTCCACACTGCCTGCACTGCGTGCTATTGCCAGCAACTCTCCTGGGCAAGCCAAGAAGGGTCTTAAGACAGACCTGACTGGGGGGAAAACAGTGTTTCTGTATGTATAATGTTCAGTCACAGTGGTGCTTAACTATACAGTTAGCTCTGCACAGCATCATGTTGTTGACATCGCATCATTTTCAGTTAGAGCTTTGACATGTCTGCGTTTGTTGTTCTTTCTCGCAGTCACAAATCTCACACCATCACGTGGCAGCATCTGGGTCCTCAAACTAGGTCACTTTGGAAATGGGACAACATGGGAACATGGTTGCCCTATCAGACTGGTAGGTGTAGGTTTTCAGAAGCACTGACATATTATCCTCACGTATTCCAGGTGTTCTCCTGAAAGAGAGAACTCGCCTGGGAGTCTTCTGTCCTGTTTGGTTTCCCTTCATTCCTTCAGTCCCGTGCCTACAGATTCCAGAGGAAGCCAAGCAAAGGCTGTCACTGCCTCCTGCCCAGTTTGTGTGAAATTTAATCATTAATCTCCCGCTTCTCACTGTCTCTACCAGCAGCAGTATAAGCAGACAGTAAGCACAGTAACATCTCCATGACAAAAATGATCTAGAAGGAAGCAGACTAAAATAAAAAGGGCAACATCAGAACAGACCTCTCTGAAATTTGCAAGGCCTGCACAAATGTATATGGCAACGGAGACAGGGGTTACGATTAGGAGGTGAAGTATCTCCAATTATACAACAGTGAGGCAGCAATAGAAAAATTTAATTTTGGACTAAAAACTTGCACACTGGGATGAAGATACAAAAATCTGCTTTTGCTGTTTTTCTTCTGAAATAAGTTATTTGAACTCTTGCTCGCAGGTTTAAAAGATATTACTGTGCACTTTTTCCCCAAAGAGCACACCCAGGCTCCCTCTGCTACTTTCTGAGAAAAATGACAGCACCTCCTACATGTTCCTCTAATGCCCAGAAAACACCTTTTCCTTGGCACCCTTCTTTTAATTTTTCACTCATTGAACTTAAGTTTATAACTACCACAGACCCTGCCCAGACCTACCAGAACACTTCAGAAACGAAATCATATAAGTTATCAACAAAGTCCATCATGAAACAAAATTCAGTAGCCAAAACAGAGGCCAATAAAGCCCAATAAAGTCTGCCACAAAAATCATCCATGTCTTTAATCAACAAAGCAGAGAAAAAGTTCTATTTTTCCTGAAGCTTCTTAAAATGTCTGCAAGTTACTACCATAGAGGAAACATTTGCAGTCAAGTCAAATATGTTTGGCAATATTAATAAATGTTCAGAACTATCTGACATACATTAATGTAAGTAACTCAAATTAGAATTAACTACTTCAAAGCCTGTTATAGCAACGAAGTTTCTGTAGTGTCAACTTGGCCATCAAATCTATTATGGATCCAGGCAATCCTACTTTTCTTCATCTATGGTTAAAAGGAAATATTAAAACATTACAACTCAGAAGCAGAYGATAAATCACAGCCACAGTAAGTAAACATGCCACCAAGCAACAAAACAGCTTCCATTACCTTTTAAATTCAAAACGTGTTTGAACTGACTCCTCATAATACCAGAAGTACCTTTTACAACTTGCTATACAAACTGATCAACATGTAGGATTTGCTTTCAACCTGACCCCATCGAGAGAAGAATGTTGTGAGGAGTTTTGTTCTAGTGGAAAGTCAGGGTTTTCTGGGTCTCTAAAACAGGCTGGCTATGCACACACCTAAGAGAAAGCAAAACAAAAAATAATACAATAACTCTGACATAACCTTAATAATTGAGACAGCTGTTAAGGCTTACAGTTAATAACAGAGGAAAAATTAAAATATTTTGAAAACATTCCTAACTTGGTTATTTCTTGGGTTTGGTATAGATTACAAACATTGCATTAATAAGGATTCATAAATTTCTGTCTTAAGCATTTAAGCCTTTGAAATACAGATTTTTGAAAGAGCAATATTTAATTCCCCATGATATGACAGGTAGTCAAAATTCATTACCTTTATATCCATCATTTAAAAATATTTTAATGCTAACTCCCTTTGAATTAAAGCCTTTCAATAAATATTAAAATTTATTTGTAGGAAGTAGTACAGCTTCACAGATGGGTTTTATGATTTCTTGTAGGCTCGAAAGATAGGGTTATAGCCAATTTTTGAAGCATACAGCTGGTGGCATTAGAAGAGAAGTAATTTAAATAGTTGTCAATATGCTCATTCTTGATATTGCCAAATTTTCAAAAGTCTTAATTCCTCCAAATCATACTATTCATATTTATGTATTACATACCCACATTAAAATACCACTTTGAAACACAAGATATTTTCAACAGTATTTCACATCACAAATCATAGAATCATAGAATCATAGAATGCCGAAGGTTGGAAGGGACCTCAGAGGTCATCGAGTCCAACCCCCCTGCTCAYGCAGGGTCACCTAGAGCACGGGGCACAGGGCTGCATCCAAGCGGGTTTTAAAGATCTCCAAAGAAGGAGACTCCACAACCTCTCTGGGCAGCCTCTTCCAGTGCTTTGTCACCCKCACWGTGAAGAAATGCTTCCTTAAGTTCCTGTGGAACTTCCGATGCTTCAGTTTGAAGCCATTTCCTCTAGTCCTATCACTGSCCACCACTGAAAAGAGGCCGCCCCCCTCCTCCTCACTGCCTCCCTTGAGGTATTTATACACGCTGATCAGGTCCCCCCTCAGCCTCCTCTTCTCCAGGCTGAACAGGCCCAGCTCCCTCAGCCTTTGCTCATAGGGCAGATGTTCCAGGYCYCTGATCATCCTCGTAGCCCTGCGCTGGACTCTCTCCAGCAGCTCCACATCCCTCTTGTACTGGGGAGCCCAGAACTGGAYGCAGTACTCCAGATGTGGCCTCACCAGGGCTGAGTAGAGGGGGATGATCACTTCCCTCGACCTGCTGGAGACGCTCTTCTTAATGCACCCCAGGATCCCGTTTGCCTTCTTGGTCACCAGGGCACACTGCTGCCTCATGGTCAACTTGTCGTCCACCATGACACCCAGGTCCCTCAATGCAAGCTATTTCACATGTTGTGTATGTCTTGGTCAACTTTTTTTTTGCATTTTCTTCTTGGTTATAACTTTTTTTWAAAAAAAAAAGGGGAAGAAAAAAATCCCCCCAGATTTTGCCCTGAAGTGTATTTAAACCTACTTTTAAAACTTTTTCAACTTCAAATGCGTATGTGATTAATGAAACATTCAGAGGTGGTATGAGGTCAAAAAAAGCTTTTGCATTAAGATTTTTTCATTCAAAAAATGTTCATTTAAATAGAACATTACTAAAGCTAAATGGATGACAAGAGTTCAACTTTCTAATATTTGTATCWTTTTTTTCCACTTCTGTACTTGCATTCATGTTTCCGAGCAGAACGCAATTTCTATGTGCAGCGTAAGAGTTAAGGCCATTACAACCCATTCATTTTGTAGTCAAATCAGTGTTAATTAACCAAGCTAGTGTGTGAAAGTCTAGATAAAAGTTGCAACTTATAAGCCAAAGCAGATGTTTTAACTTATAATTTTAATATAGCAATCAAAGAAAATTCCAAATACTGTACAGTGAAGTGTAGTATAGTACACTATATACTGTTATAATACACTATTGTTACATTACAGATAAAAAAAAATCAAATATAATTAGTACAGCAATCACAAATAAAACAAACCAAACTGTGCTGGGTAACAGCCAGTGCTGTGAAGATGGTATCATTTCTATGCTAATTTATTTTTATTTCAACATGTAAAGCACTTACTGTTTAAAAAGATTTGTTCTCTAAATATATACACTATCAATTCTTATTTATACATTTTAAATAGCATTCCCTCCTAAAAGTGCACTCTTTCATTTCTTGGCAATAATCCTCATTAAAAGTAAAATAATTCTGAAAATACCAATCACATTTCAACCTTTTATTGCTCAACCACAGGCATAAGGGCTCAGAGGGAATCCTGCATTCTACGGATCTTAAGCAACTTCAGCAATTTTAAGAGGCTAAGCTGATATCCGTAAGCCAAACAAAGAAACCACTTACTGTTATGTTTCTTAACAG